TAAATAATAAATAATAATATAATAGTTCTTTATATTATTTAGTTATATAGTATTTTTAAAAACTATTAATAAAAATTATATTTTTATTAATAATAATTTTATAAAATTCTTTACTTATATTTAATCTTTTAATAAAAGATTTTATTAAGTTTTATAATATTTATTATAATATAAATTAAAAAAACTTATTTTAATAAAATAATTTATAATTATTAAAATTAAATTTACTTTTTATTTATAATAATAATTAAAAATCTAATTATAAAATCTATATTAAATTTTATATAGGTTTTAATAAAATTAATAATAAAATAAGCTCTCTATATAAATAATAATATAAAGTAAATATATATTAATATATTATATAAAAGTATATATATTCTATTATAAAGGCTTTTAACTCTAACTATTAAAAGTATTTTTAAAAAGTTTATATTCTAATCTACTTTTAATATTTATTTAATAAATTATTATAATAAGTTTATAAAATCTTTTATTTTAAAGTCTTTTATTTTAATATATATATATATCTTTTTAATAAAAAGTTTATTTTAAATTTTATAATTAAAGTTATTTAAAGTAGTATTATTTAAGGATTATATCTTTTAATTATAGCTTAAATTATAAGGTTTTCTTTTAAACTTTATAAATTAAATCTATTAATAAAAATAAGGCCCTAAATATATTATATTAATATTAAATATATATATTTAAATTTAAACTTTATTATAAACTACCTTATAAAGGAGTTATAAACTTAAATTAATACTTTATTAAAAGGAATTATTTTTAAAATTTTATATATTATAATACTTTTAATTATAACTTAAATTTTAATTTACTATTAGTTTTTAAATAAAATTATAAATCCTTTTAATAATTATAATTATTTTTAATTTTAAAATTAAAATCTAATTTATATTTAAAGATTTTTCCTTTAATATATAGTTAAATCTCTTAAGGGTCTATTAGTTAGATTTATTTTATTAAAATAGTATTTAATAATAAAATTAAATTTAATTAAATATATTAGCTATTAAATTTATTTTTAAATTAGTTTTTTACTTTATAAAATTATAAAGGTTATTATAATTTAAAATAATAATAGATTTTAAACTCCTTTAAAATATTATTATTAATACTTAAAACTATTAATAATAATATTTAATTTTTTATTATAAATTATTTAGTTAAATTTTATATTAAAAAACTTTTTAATTAAAAATAATAAAATATTATTAAAATATATCTTTAATAATATACTTTAAAAGATTATTAAAGTAACTACTTTATTAAAAATATTATATTTAATTTAAATTTAAAGTACTAAATTATAATATTAAAATAAAAATATTTATTAAAATTTAGCCTTAAATTTTAAAGGCTTTCTAAACCTTTAAATTTTAAGTATAAATAAATTAACTTTACTAAACTTTTAACTCTATTTTATACTAAATAATTACTTATTAAAAGTTAAATAATTTTAAAATATTCTTTAATAAACTTTTAATAAAAATTATAAAATTTAAAAACTTAAATATTATAATAAATAATAGGAATGGGCTATTTTTAATAGTTTTAATTTAATTAGAATTTATTTAAATTCCTTTTTCTAATTAGAATTTTAAGAATTTAATTTTCTTTAAAAAGCTATACTTTTTAAAATTTTATAAAGTTTAATTAATAATAATTAATCTATAATTATTTAAATATATTTTATATTTTTTTATTCTTTAAAAATTAAAATATTATTTAAATAAATAATTATATAAATATTAATATAGTTATTTAAAATTTTTATAATAAATAATTAAAATATAATAAAGGTATTAGTTAATTTAAATAATACTACTTTAAATTTATAATAATTATAATATATATAAAATATTATCTTTTATTTATCTCCTTTTAAATATAAATCTAATAGTAAGTATCTATTAAATTAATTTTTAAAAATACTTTATACTTAATAGTTAATTTAAAATTTTAAAATAAGTAATAAAAATAATAATTTTTAATTATTATTTTATTAAAACCTAATAGTTAATATAAAGTTAAAAGTATTATCCTTTTAAAGGTAAATAAGATTAAAGTCCTTATTAGACTTTTATTAAGGGTAATTTATTTAATCTTTAAACTTTTTTTTAATTACTTTTTTAAAATCTTTAACTTTTTTAATAATAGTAAATAAAGAGATAGAAAAAATAGTAATATCCCTTTTTTTAATTTAATTATATAATCTACCTTTTTTTAAAAAAGAAGCTTTTTTATTCTAACCTTTATAAAAAACTCTTTTAAACCTCTCAATTATAAATATAATTAAGAAAGATTAAAGGGTAATTTTTTTTCTTTATTTATTCCTTTTAGCTCTTATTACTCCTTTTTATTATCTAAACTAAAAGGGTTATTAATTAAAAGGATAGTATAATAGTAGGTATTTTATCCCTAATTTCTTATAAAGGATTTTATAATTTATTAAATAATATATAAGTTATTTTATTAAAATTATTAATTTTTAAATAACTTTCTAACTTTATTTAAAAATATTATAAACTTAAAGTTTTTAATAATAAAATAAATTTAAAATACTTTTAATTAATAATAAGAATATCTTAAATTTCTTTCTTTTAATTTCTAAAATAATCCTTAATTAAAAGAAAGACTTAAAAATTCTATAAATAAATACTAAAATATAATTAATTCTTTTAATAAATATTAAGGATTTCTTTAATTTCTTTAAATTAAATTTTCTTATAAAAGAAATATTAATTAAATCTATTTAAATTTAAATATTAAGGTTAATTTTAATATACTTTTAACTCTATATTATAATTACTTTTTTAAAATTATAAAGGTATTATAAACTTTTATTATTTTTTTTCTTTTAATTTTAATTATTAATTTAACTCTTTTATTTTAAATATTATTCTAATAGATAGTTAAGATAATCCTTAACTTTCTATTTTAACTCTATCTTTAATAGCCCTTTAATTAATAATTATTATAGTTTTAAACTTAATTTATAAATACTATAACTTTTATTAATATTAAATAGTTTAAAGTATAATAATAAATATTATTATAGTAATAATAAATAGTTAGTTTTTATTATTATTAAAAGAATTAAGTTTTAAAATAGTTTTAAAGTTACTTTTTTAAATATTTTAATTAGATTAAGTATATAAGCCCCTATTTTAGGATTTTTAGTTCTAATTTTTTATATATAATAAACTTTAAGTTCCTTTAAAAGCTATAATATTACTTTAAGGGGCTCCCCTTTATTCTCTTTTATTAAGGGTTTTATTACCTCCTTTATACTTTATTTTTAATTTTTTATACTTTTTTAATTTATTTAAATATATTAATTTAAATTATTTAAGTAACTTTAATTATTTTATCTTTAATATTTAATAAATTTAAAATATATTTAGTTTAAATCTTTAAAAGATTTAACTTTATAATTTAAAAAAATTTAATTTTAAAATTATTACTTCTAACCTTTATTCTAACTTTGTTTTAAAATATTAATAAAAGAATTAAAAGTTTTAATTTTTTATTAATAAATAGAATTAATTAAATTTTAAACAATCTTAAAAATATTTTAAAATCTTTTTAAAGTTATTATTAAAAGTTTTAAACTTATTTTACTTATAATAATTAAATATAAACTTATCTCCTTTCTTTTAAATTTTATATAAATATTTTAATAGTTTTAATACTTTTATTAATATAATTAAATATATAAATTACTTTTATTTTATTATTATAAAAGGATTATAATTAAAAATATAAACTCTTTTAAAGTTTATTATTTAACTATTATATTATTATAAAATATAAATTATAAATAGTAAAGTAATATTAGTTAGCTTTAAATTCTTTAATTTAATTTTTAAAGTAATTTTAACTACTTTAAAAATATTTATTCTTTATTAAAGGATTTAATTTTACTTTTATTTTTAAATAAGAGTATTATTTATTAAAGGGGTATTTAAACTCCCCTTATTATTATCTAAACTTATTTAAAACCTTTTTTTTTAATTATCTATTCTTAATAATATTATAAGTAGTATAAAAAAAAAAATTAGAATTATAATAGGCTATAATATTAAGTATAATAGTATAAATTAAAAAAGGTTTAAAGATTTATTAGATTTAGATTTAATATAAAATTAATTCTTATTTTTTTTTAAGAAGAGATAAGTAAACTTTACTTACCTTTTAATAAATTTTAAAAAGGGGTATAATTAGGCACTAGGGTGCTTTTAGGGCGCTTCCCTATAGCTTCTATCTAGCTATTATAAAAGTAATTTAATATTTATATTATTAATTATAATATTTAAAAAATAATATTTAAATAAATATAATAAAAATTTAATTTTTAATTAATAATTTTTATTACTTAAATAATTAATTTAACTTATAATTAGGTAATAGTTAGTAAATATAATTAGATAGAAAGAGAAGATTTTATTAAATATATTAAGTAGAATATAAAAAATATTATTTAAATAGTTTAATAAATAAAATAAAGTTTTTTAATTAGTTATAGCTTTATTTAATTATATTTAAGTATACGCCTTTTAATTCTAGGTGTGCGAATTTCTATTCTCCTATTCTATATATGTCTAAGGATATATATAGCGCCTTTATACGGTGTTATTAATATATATATATATATATATATATAGAATAAAAGTATAACTAGTTAATGTCTTTCTATAGATTTAAACTCCTAAAGAGTTTGTATTTTGTTCTTGAAAGAAAAGTCTGCTATAATCATCTTAAAAGCTCAACTATGTAGTCCCTTCCCTCACATAATAGAGGACCAAACGGCCCTAATTTTAGCCCAGTGTACACAATTTTTGTATATTCAAGTCTTTTGGTAATCTATGAACGAGCGTGTCATGTAAGGGATTGAGACCAGCTCTGCCAGTTCCGAAACAGTGGTTAAAAACAAAAGTCAAATGCCCTTTCCCCTCTGCATGGTAGGGAACACTCTACGCCCATTTATAGGTTCCATCGCCCGAGCGGTGATACCACTTGTTGTACTTTGCGCTGAACGTCCAATACCCGTCTTTGGACTTGTCGCCATCCCGTGGAGCGCTGCCTCCAGAGGATCCACCGCTACCCCCGCGGCTTCCGCTGCCACTGCCACTGCCGCCGGATGCAGAGCCGCTGTGTCGAGAGGATCCCCCGCTACTCGAATGGCTTCCACCTCCACTGCCACGGGAGCCGGATGCAGAGCCGCCGTGCCGAGAGGATCCTCCGCCACTCCCACGGCTTCCACTGCCGCGGCCGCCATCGGAGCCAGATCGCGAGCCCTTGTCTTCAGGGGAAGGGCTACGATCCATCCCCAAGGCCCACCGGACCTGAGTCTCGTACCTGGGGTCGGTCTCGATCACCCGCTCCAGGAAGCACGCTTTCCACTCAGGGCGGAACGAACCTGCCGCTCGCCTGACCAACGGGGCATAATTGCTGGACCTGCAGACAAACATGAGATCCACATAGTCGTCTCTCGTCTCCCGGCCGTAGTGAGCCTTGATCTTAGCCGCCACGAGAGGGCCGATGCTGAGAAACTTGCACCGAGCGCCACTTGCTATCTCCAGGGTCTCGACGGCAGCACTGAGATCACTAGGGATAAGATGCCCTTCGGCACCCTTTGGCTTCAGGTCGACCTGGGCCAACCTGCCCTGGACATTGACAAACAGCCTTGCGACACCCGAGGCCCATTGCATCCTGCTGGCCGGCCGCCAGATGCTAGACCACAAAGAAGCGATGTCAGTGGTTCATCTTGCCGAGCAAAGGGTTCTGGAAAAGTACTCACGCTGGATTGTTGTTGAAAATATTCAGGAGATTATCCATACGTGGTTGGTTGTCTACAGCGATGTCGATATCACCAGTCGCCCTGCCCGAACCTCGCAGGTAGAAGTTCATGCCGCCCATGACACCATACGAGATTGCATTCGCCTCTAGCAGGCCGGAAACAAGCGCGAGGGCCAATGTCTGATAATGCGGGGGCGTTGACTCGGATTGCTCCTCCAGGTCATCCAGTTGATCCATAGTATAAGAAGGCATGGTGAATTGATATAAGTATCGGCCTGAGTTGAAGGGAGTGTGTGTTGAGACTCTTAGAAAAAGCGCTTAAAGCAACAGCAGATGGAGGAATGAGATTGTGAGACCGGCTCGTGAGGTGATTGATGTGCTGAATTCTGATTGTTGGTCGAGTGCGGGAATCAGCCCTTTTATGCGATACAAGAGGACAGTTGAATTAAGATCTATTGTCCCTCACGTCACACACCTTCTTGTTCCTCCAGCTGATTCCATCATGTTTCAACTGGCCGGCTTCCTCCAGCAGGGCAGTCTGGCCTGGTCAGGCTGCGACGAGGACGGTTGCAGCCACCGACACAATTCATTTTGCCCTGAGACCGCTAGGTACACACATGTCCAGCCCACGATGGATGGACGCGACGGGAAGTCCCGAGGTTTCCTGCTACACATCGTTTATATTTAGTAGCGATCCTATTTGTCTTAAGAGCGTCATGATTCTCACTCAAAACAAGAGGCCATATATCAAACCGTCGGTCGGTGCTTGGATGGATCGTAGGATTTGCTAGGCCTGGCCTGGCCTGGCCTACAGGCCTATACGGAGTAGGCTTATACCCTATTGCAGAAGCAAGCTTACTAAGTACCTAACTTTTGTGGCCATTTGTGGCAACCCTCCCAGGGTTCCTGCTGCGCTGCCCCACTTTACTTTTGCTTATGCACATCCCCCGTGTCCACATAAGAACAAACCAAATCACCTCCCAAGGGTTCTCTTGATGGGCCATCTTGAGACCGTTTCTCCAACAATCAACAAGAGCGTGAATCCAACCAATGACGTCACAATGGATGGAGACTCTCAAATAATCGATGAGATCCCCCATGACGCATCGAACGAGCCTGTCACGAGCCCTACGAGCCCTGGGGGCGGCCCCGAGTCGGATGCAGGGCGACCTGGTACAGCAGCTCACCAAGGGGCGGACCTCGCTGCCTCCACCGCAGTACCTGAATTCCCTGGACTACGGACCCATGGAGGCCGCGATGTCACGCCCGACGACGTGAAGGAGGTCATACGTCTCCTGGGAGAGGCAGGCGCACCGGCGTGCGTAGCGGGCGTGTATGCCCTGCGCTATTTTGGCGCAGGGCGGGTCTCAACCGTATGTCGTGTGCCTTGTCCTCATCAGCTGAACCTTGACTAACCAAGTAAATCCCAGGAGATCGACATCTGCATTCCAGATGAGGCCCTCGACAACGCCAGGGTGATGTTCGAGAACGACGCCCGGTTTGAAGAGGCGCCCCCCGCCCCGCCGCTCATGACATCCCTCCGGCACACCAGGCCGACATTCTTAATGAAGGGCGTATACTTCGTCTTCATCCTGATCCCTGCATCCGACTACTTCATCGACCCGAGTCCGGATTGCTGCGAGCTAAGCCTCAAGGGCATCCCGTATCCAAAGCCGCATCACTTCGCCCGTTCGCTGCTCGTGTTGCAAAACCCAAGCGATCTGTGTGACTTTATCGATGGGATGGATCTCGACAAGGATTGGGGAGAGTCCAACCTGAACTTTGATGAATTGCAGCAAAAGGGAATCGAGTTCAGCAGGAGGCAGAACGATGTGCGTGAGCAGATGGGACTTGGACCTCTCAGCTTGAAGCTCGATGTTGACTACAGGGCCATGTGGAACACTGAGGTCGATGAGAAGGAGAAGCGGATTGAACCGATGAAAAAGGGTCGCTATAAGACTCGGTGGAGGCGCATCAAGAATGACATGGACCCAAGACTGAAGGATAGGCCTTTGTAACTGCCTCTCCATCTCTGCTATTCACAAATTTGGTGGGATACAATCTGTGGCCCCACGGACCGTGACCAGCCCCAGAAGGCCTTGCGGGGGATGCACGAGAACCATGCCGGTGCCAAGCACACCCTGTTGCACGACGACCAGGACCTCACGAGTCCTTTCTGGCAAGAAGACAGTCGCCCGCGCCTTGCCTCGGCCATGTCAACTTGGTTTACTTGCGGCTGGACAACACACAAAGGGCTGAGGACTCCTATGCTCTCACCGACAAGTCAAGCAACGCTGAGCTGTCTGAGGATGCCAACTACATGTTTCGTTGGTACCAGAGGGCGACTAAGTACTGCGCCTTCCTTGCAGATGTCCCAACAGGAGGCCTAAACGCTGCTGATAAGTCTACAGGTCCAGCTGCGGACTGGGTTTTTAGGAAAGGGCCGCAACCCCGACATTGCCCTAACGGCATCCAAACACCACCTGGCCAGGAGTGCAGGTCGCCTAGTCTTTAGTTACATGCACAATACCTTGAGAAGGGTATAGTAGTAGCTTCTGGTACTATTGGGGATGAAATGGTGTAAAATCTTGGACTTGACCCAGCTTTGCGTGACCCATCGCTCGTTCACAGCACTTCCTCGGGCTATGTTGAGCCACCATGTGTTGTCTAGCCTCATTTCCATAAACTATCTCCTTATCACTATGCAGTAACTTGCAAAAGAGTCAGTTGATAGCCAAACTTCCGTTGTTTCTAGGCAGCATCGCCATGAATCTCATTACCGGTTTGTAGATCCCGTGCCCATCGGTGTCAGCCTAATACCCCATGCATTGCGAGGGGTCTTGGAAGACCCCATGACCATCAGTAATATCGGCCTCATCGCAAGTCTTCTTCCAGACTCCATGGCCATCGGTGTCGGCCTCATCACGAATCTTCTTCCAGACCCCAAACCCGTCGGTATGGACCTCACCACTGTGAGGCTCGTCGCGCTTCGGGTCCACGTTGTCACTCAATGACGGGGCCATACTTGGAAGAGCCAGGACCGTGGAGGCCAAACAGCTCGCAAAGGCCAACTCGGACAGGAATCTCATGGTGCTGATGTTGAGGGTTTTGTCTGTAGTCTCATCGTCAGCATGCCTGTTATTAAAATCGAAGCCTGAGAGCAGAGTATCTCCTACCTACTCAGTGCTGTTTGAACTTGGATTTTTCAAATTCTCGATGTCAATTTCGCTTGATACATCGTGCTGGACAGAAATTGAGGAATATTGAGCTCACCAGTGCCTGGTAAGATATTTATACCCTTTGTGAACAATTACCTGACTTGACTACTGCTTTGCACGTGAAGCCGCTTCGCTCTTCCACCGGGCGAGGGAGGAAAGATGGCGCAATAAGGCTCCAACCCGCTGGTCTACCCTATTGCATGTGGACACGCGAGGACCATGCTGACGCGTTGATTACTTCGTTTGGGTTAGGTTGATACTTTATGCTATAATGAATCCTTCGGCATATCCACACCATTTGTGATTGATCTAAGCTTTTCAATTTACATAGCATATAGCGGATGTGAGGATTTAAGGTTGTTAAGTTGGTGTCCACCAGTTGACAAGTGCAAATTCAACAGGCGTCTGTGATGTTCAATGGCCTGGGTTTTGGAGCGATCCAGGGGACAGGATCCAGTACGACGGCTTCGTTTCAACACCGTCAGCCATAAGCTTACAGCCGTAAGCTTACGGCCTCTGGCCTACCGCGGATGGGGAAAGCTCGGTCCAGTTTGGTGGGGGAAACATGAACCTCGTGCCAACTTGAGGAGCAGTCACCTGTGAGAAACTTTGACTACCAGGTGTGTGAGAGGGGAATACGTGCTGCATCCTCCTCCTGAGCTCACACCCACTTTCCTAAAATTGGTCGCCTAGACATCCGAGGTCGTGACGTAGAATAATCTCCATAGATCTCAAGCCTGGCCCCAAGGCTGAGTTCTGACGTCAATCACCTCAGCCGTGGTGACTGGGTGGATCGGATTTCAAATGCAACAAGAACTTAAGGCGATTAGAAATTTTAGGGGGGCTTTAGCTATATTATATTTTTTTTATTTAACTATTTATCTATTTATTATCTTTTTAACTTTTAAACTAATTATTAATTTATACTTTAAGTATAAAGTTAATAATTACTTAATATATACCTTTAAATTTATTTATATATAAAGTTATTAACTTTTTTTATAAAGCTTTCTTTTTTACTATATTTCTTATATATTATATAAAAGTAAATAAATCTTTAATAATAAAATAATATATTTAAAAAAATATTTAGTTTTTAAATATTTAAACTTTTACTTTTTTATATAATATTTATTTAATATATAATAAATAAACTTTAATTAACTTTTAAAAAGTTTTAATCTTTTATAAAATTTATATAAAAGTTTTTTAAATAGATTTATTATTATAATATTATTATTTTATTAGCTATATATTTAAAATAAGGATTATAATATATTTAATTTATTTAATAAAAATAAATTTAAATAGTTATATAATAAGTATATTAATAAAGAAAATTAGTTTATTAAGTTTTATATTATAAGATTCTTTTTATAAAAGTTATTTTAAAAGATTATTTTAATTTTATTATATAACTACTTTATTAATTATTAATCTTTAAGCTATTTATATTAATAATTTTTATATAATATTATTAAAAGTAATACTTTTTAATTTTATTTATATAATATAAAGCTTAACTATATACTTATATATTATTATTATTTTTTATTATTATTAATATTATATTTCTTTAAATATTAAGTCTTAAGTATTTACTATTATATAAAGGTACTATATATATTTTATATATATAGAGATTAAAAATAAAACTACCTTGAAATTTTAAGATACTCTTAGATCCCCTATCCCTTTTCGCCGCCTCTATCAGTTCCATTTTTCAAAGTTTCTTCCTGTCACAGGCGCTTTGATCCTACATCAAATATGAATATCGACTTCTGGAACCTTGTCCCGCAGGTTCCGAAACAATTACGTTTTTTCCTTGCACCATAAGTGCCGAGATTATTCTTCCGCTGAGAGCAGGCGGGTGCGTGAGAGCTACTGGCTTTCCTGGTCGTCTGGGCCGTCCAACGCGGTCCCCTGGGTGGGTACCAGGCTTGTTGTTTCACCTCCCAATTCCGAATCTTTGATATCAGCCATATAAATGCGAGTCCCAGCAGGATCTTTATCAGATACATATAGTTTTACCTCTATTCCGTATACGTCCAAGTACATATATAACGCCTTCATATGGTAGTAAGCACTCAAGACCTAGCGCTTAAAAAGAACATAATGTCGATAACGATAGTCATAATACGATAGGTGCATATAGACTCAGCCTTACGACGTACAGACAAGGCTAAGGGGCACCGTCAGTTCAAAGAATCATCTATGCTTCACTACGTAATCTTCATTACTCATAAGTAATGTCTGCCTCATTTCCCGTTCCCTACGACCATCTGCTCCAGGCTCCGGACTGGTGGCGATCTTAGATGTTGGCACTGCAGTCAAGAGAGGGAATTTATCTCAACTCTTAATATGGGCAAACTGTTCTCAGGCTCCAGCTTAGGACACATGTATAACATAAAGGGTATGTGCATTGCAATTGGACAACATGGCGCAAGGTCTCGATATTTATGTACAAAATTACATCCTCAGACCTGGCCACTACCATTCAAATCCTGGAAGAATATCAAAAAGCTAATAAGATGCAAGCCTGGACACTGCCATCGACCTCAGTCCTGAAACAGCTTCCGGTCACAGCGACGACTGTTATCATCCAAAGAGAGCGGAAAAAGACGGCCGTCAAAAGAAAGATCCTCATGCGGAGCTGGAATAGACTTCTTCGCCAGCAACGTAGGTGCTGAGGACCTTGGTCCCCCCGATCTCCGTCTCGTTAATCTTGAACGGGTCGCGATCAATGAAAAGGAAGTTGGCAGCCTTGCCGACTTCGATCGAACCAACGACATCGTCAAGCCCGGCAGCCTTGGCGCCGTTGATACTGAAGATGCGGATCGCCTCTTCAACCGTCACCGCCTGCTCCGCCCACAGGGTGCCGGGGAACTGGCCCGTGGGATCCTGTCGGGTGACGAGGCCGCCGATCCCCTGCCACGGGTTGGGGTCAGCACTGACGGGCCAGTCGGACCCAGCAGCGACGAGGACGCCGAGGTCGAGGAGGTGGCGGTTGGGCTGCATCTTGGAAGCAACCTCCTCGGGCAGCACGGCGGCGATGGCTGAGGGGATCACCCCTGGGTACCAGATGAACGGCGACACGTCGGCGTAGACATTGAGGGTCGCCATGCGCTGGCGGTCCTCGGGCGTGACGAACTGGCCGTGTGCGATCTGGTAGCGCTGGGTCGAGCCCTCGGTGCGCATCACCTCGAAGGCGTCCATCGCGACGCGGACCGACCAGTCGCCGGTGCAGTGGATCTTGGTGTGGCGGCCCTGTTCGCGGTACAGCCGCAGGGTCTCGACCAGCTCTTCTGTCGTGTTGTACACCACGCCGTGGTAGTTGCAGCCGTGTTCCGGCGTGGGCAGGTATGCTTCGAGGAACCCGGCCGTCTGCGTCGGCGGGACGCCGTCCAGGACGAGCTTGGTGAAGTTGGTGCGCACGCGGTCGCGGGCCAGCTCGCGGGCGTGCTGGTCGAAGTCTGACTGCTTCACGTTGGGCTCGGCAAATCCGCCATCCATGGCGAGACAGCTTGAAACCCAGCCCTTGAGCCGGCTCTCCTCGTCGAGGGCAACCATGGCGTCTAGGTTCGATGTAGTGACGGCGGCATCCTGGATGGAGGTGACTCCGAAGGAGTGCAGGAGTTCCCATGCCCTCAAGGCGTAGTTCTTTTGGTCTTCCAGAGTGTCTGGCTCCGCTGCCGCTTGTGCTGCACGGGCGGGCGCCGCTGCACCTTCGATGAGGACTCCGGTGGCTCCCTCGGTAGGTATCCCCGCTGCCTCCAGGCCAAGAGTATTTACCCATACGTTATGGTGGCTGTCGTCATTGAGGAGAACGGGATGGCCGTTGGAGACTTCGTCGAGGCGCTTCAGGGCGGCGGTAGTGGAGATCTGTGACAAAAGGGTGCTTCCCCAGCTTCCACCGGTGACCCAGGCGGAAGCATTAGTTAAGTTGGCCGAGTAGGAGTTGATCAGATCCAGCATGTCGTCAAGTGGAAGATCTGATGAGAATGTCAACTCCTTGAGAAGCATTCTTCCGCCGGGAATATGGTGAATGTGCGTGTCAAACAGTCCTGGGGCGACTGGTGCTCCAGCCATGTCCTTCACCACCGTCGCGGAACCAATGAAAGGCTCGAGTTCGGCATCGTTGGAGGAGACGGCCACGAACTTCCCATCTTTTACCGCAAAGCCACTGGCAGTAGAGGACGATCGTTCCGCTGCAGTGAAGACACTGGCGTTGCGAACCACAAAGTCGGCCTGAGAAGCAGTCATGTTCTGGACAAAGCGGATTCTCGTCAAGGTATCGTCGGTGCTGGGCTGAGCGTTGTCCACTGTCGAGTTGCAGTCGGCGCCGCTTACTCCCAGAGTTCCGCCAAGGAACGCCAGGAGTGCGGCCGCGCATAGGGTATTCAATGATGACTTCGCCGGCATGATGCTTGTGTGCAATTAAGGTTAGCCCAAGACGCGGGCTCGAGTCGATCATGCCCGATATATACACTTCTGGTCACTTCTCATCCTGCACTGAGGCCTTGGTATCAATCGTGAAGTTGACAATGTTGGAAGCGCATACATTGTCCAAATTAGGTATATTATAGTGAGAAAAGCGCTAACTTGCCCCTAAATACCACTACAATTATGCTTGGAGCGCAAACACCTCCCTAGATGGGTTTAGCGACCCGCCGTCACTCTCAATGTGACCGTCGTACTCCGTAGCCAGATGGAGACCGGTGCAGTGGGGATGCCCTAGGGCCTCCGTTAATAGATATGCCAGATAGCATACTTGCCCGTGGCGCAGACCATTGCCGCTGTAACTGTGCATGGTCTAGCTGCCTGACCGACCTCTAAAGATTATTGGCTAGATAGGCTTTCAAATTGCTTAGTTATTGTCGACTCGCATTCACTGCACCAAGCATGTCGCCTTCTAAGGCTAATAGAGTATGATCTGGATAAACTCCGTTCCAAGAGTTAACACTGTCCGCTACAATTAATATTGAATCGATAACATCACATTCCGAAAACTGTGGGGCCAGGCCCAGCTTCATTATCTCTCGTCCTAATCGAGAATGAGCACGATTCAGTGATACCTCCACCCTTTTGTAATCCCTTTCCGCTGGCCAGCTGCCGCGACGCCATGCCGAAGCGCGGGGTCACGGTCGCTCTAATTTATCTTATCGGTACCTGCATTGACTATTCGATAGATAGAACAATTAAGGACTGACGGGCTCTCGGCCACATGGTTGGACCCATGCTGTCCCGTTCCACTTTGTGCTTATATCGATGTCACGAAGATGGCTCACAGGGTGGCGGTGAGTTCACACAGAGCCCTCCATTTCAGAAAGCTACCTAGTATTACGGAGTATTACACACATGGGTACTTATTAGGCGCCTGACGCATGGACTGTGCCCCTTCAATATTATTATCGTATGATACCTAGGTATGGGTATTCCAGCTTCCAAGAACGTGGATTTCTGGACGTAACAGCATGTTGTTTTGTGTCGCAAGGTCTACCACCTGTTAGACCCACAGGTCTGTATGTTGTGGGAGATCAGGAATGAGGCCAACACCACCTGGACAGTAATAGAACCAAAGAAGTGGCATTTTTACAGAATAACGATTCCCAAATATTTTTGTACAAAGAGTGAACGATCTAGACCTGCAACACATGTCTGTTCATCCAAATTCACGGCTAACTACATTAATGCCTGTTGGCATCCAAGAACGCCTGATTCCGGGTCGAAAGGTTCACAAGCAAGCCAGCACAAGCCCAATGCCCAGTCTCTTCTGCCAGCGCAATCGCGCTCGTACACTGGTCGGGAACAAACTCCCCACCCCCGGCATTGAACAGCAACAGAATCATATCGAGTCGACCGTACTCAGCCGCGTACTCGATAGCAGAGCGTCCCCCGGCCCGTACGCCTGGGGCATCCACTTTGGCGCCCAAGTCGAGCAATTTCTTTGCCATCCTCAGAGAACCAGTTTTCGCTGCCAATTGAAGTGCAGTGGCGCCGTGACGGGCCGCCGGAGCTGCGTTCACGTCCACCTTGTGACCAAGCAGGAAGTCCACAATACTATGGCTTCCAACCTCGCAGGCCTTTTGCAAGGGCGTGCGTCTCAGGCCCAATTTAGCTTCTTTGTGGATGTCCGCCCCTCTAGAAACGAGCAGCTCTACCAGCGGCAGGCTTTCTGTCTCTATAGCATCCAGCAATGCCGTTTGCCTGGTAGTGATCCTCATACTAACACTTTGAAATTCACCAGCCAGTAGGATTGGTCCGATTCGGTCATCTCCCATCCCAGTCATGCTCGTTGTGGAATTTGGATCGCCTCCAGAATCTAGCAACTTTGAGATTGTCGCAAGACGATTCTGGTAGTGCTTGACAGCAAACCCGAGTGCACTCACCATAATATACGTCTCATGGTCATCGACAACGTGGTTGACGTCAAAGCCTACTCCGAGTAATAGGTCCAAGGCTGCCTCATCACGTGTCTTGAGCGCGTGTAGTAAAACCTTGCCACCAAATCCAGTACGCCCCCGAGGATATCGCTGTCGAAAGCTTTCAAGTATAAGACTCAACAGGCTTCGATCATGAATCACCGCGTTCAGAATGGCTTGCTCGTCTGCCGGATCTGCTCCATGATCAAGTAGATAGCTGAGTATTGCATCATCTCGAACCAGAGCGGCAGCAGCCAGTGGTGAGGAGAAACGCTCAGAGCCATCGGTGACAAAGACAGGCCGGCCATCAGAAACTTTGTAAAAGCCCTGCCGCCCGGGGGATGGTCGGAGAGATGGTTTCTTCGCAGGATTTATGTTCAAATCAGCACCGAGACTGATCATGAAATCAATAAGTGACCTGTTGCCAGCCTTGATTGCGAACGAAAGAGGAGGGCGACCCCAGTATGTGTTGACGCCGTTGCCAGCGCAGAATAGTGCTCTGATAATCTTCAGATCCCCCCATGATATTGCTGCCTCCAAGACTTCCTCGTCCATCAAATCTTCAACTGCCATGTCGGATTCCAGCATTGCCCAGGTGATAGAGTGACTTTTGATTCGCAAGGCCTCCAGGAGCGATTTTTCTCGACCGTTGTCGGATGCTACTGGATTAGCACCAGCCTCCAGCAACTTCAACGCGATTTCTTGATGGCATGCCTTTATAGCGCAGAAGAGGGCTTGATCTAGGGCCGCCGATCCCGGAGCCCTGACCAACCCTAGAACTTGGTCGAGGTAGGCCGAGCTGCCGGAGTCGACAACGGCGCTTAGTATTGCCCGCAGGCGATCAGGCTGGTCAATTTCTTTCCAAGCGCCTTCTCTCACGAATATTTCAATGAGCTCATCATCGCTCTTCCGGATAGCTTCAGCCAAAGGAGTGGTCTGGTAGGTGTCACTGTCTAATCTGTACGGTTGCCCGTTTACGCATGCCCCATGCTCAAGAAGGAATTGCACTAAGCTGCGGCTTCCGAATCGCGCTGCTGCGGTAAGCGCCCAGTCGCGTCCTTTTTGGTCCACATGGGGGAGCAGTAAATCGACGAGATCACGATTATTTCTCCTCGCTGCTTGGCCCATCGCATGCGCAAGCCTGTCGCCCTCGGAATTGAAACACGCACTGTCGTGCATACCTTGACATGTTTGCATCATTTGTCGGACAAATCTGTAGCCTGAATCGTTCTTCAGGTAATGGGCCGCAGCAATGATCGTGTACTGACGGAAGAAATATGCATGGTCTGCTGGAGAGATCTTTGACACGAGTTTGTCCACCAGTGTTGTGTCTCCCCAGCGAACTGCGGCGTCCAAGAGCCTGGCTCTTACCGTGGCACCGTTGTCCAGAAGCAAATCCACAAGCCTAATCTCAGGTCGACGATAGTCATCCCAAATTCCGATTGCACATTCGAGAGCTCCTCTCTCCCGCTGATACCAAGCTGGTTTGCAGGTTTTGTTTACGTCAGCACCGAAGCGTAGCAGCAGTTCCAGGATTTCGAGTTGGCGCAGCACTGCTGCCCGTTCAGTGGCTGCCATTCGACGCACATCCTCGTCACGATCATGGTCGACAAATATGATATCATCTGGCCGGACAATTTTCAATGCAAGGAGGTCGTGAACGGTTCTTGCATCACCCGCCGTGATCGCAGCTTTCAACAGCGTCTCTGCCAAGGCCCTCGCATAGACTGTCGAGGCTCCGGTTCTAAGATGTCGTAAGACACTCCGTCGTGCAGGCTCGTGGTCGTTGATGAACTTGATGATGAGGTCTACCGGCGTCTGATCAATCCCCGCGAAATTGTTGGCCACGGAGAAGAGTAGCAGTTCGATGAACTGATCAGTGAATACTCTGGTTCCATCAACAACATCGTACTGTCTGCAAAAGACACTATCCGCGTCGGCGAGTACGAGTGACTTGAGCTTGTCAACCAGCTCTTCGGCGGTCGGTTTAAGCGCATCTGATGCATACAATGCACGTCTTGGATTCCCTGAGCCTGGGCCTCCAAGGAGGAGGCGCGCGGATTCGATTGGGCTGAGGTCATCCGGGCGATGGGTCGGGGTGATAGTGGTCGGACTGGTGTAATTCAATCCAGGGACCCAAAAGTCGTTCTGGCTGGCTGTACCTGTGAGGGTGTGTGAGTAGACGGGTCTATGCACAAATCGCCGTCCTGGTCCAGACAAATCCAAAACTTTGTAGGTGAAAGACATACCTGGAGATAGTAGACCTGGTGGGAAAGGCCCTGGTGAAAGTGGTCCTATAAGCCTTTCCCACGCACCCGGGCTATTAGGGTTGGGAAATGAATTCCAACCATCCACTTCAAAATCTAGAGACCCGTAGCTTGTGTGGAGGATCGAGAATTTCTCCACGTTAGAGGCAAAGTTAAGAAGTTGAGGCTGATTTCGGTCGCTTGGACTCCCAACCACAGGCCCAAGCGAGTGGGAACCCATGCCTCGTTCGTGCAAAATAACATCCTGGACCGGGAGCAAGCCGCTGTGAGATGCAATGCTACCAAGCATGCTACCACTGGCAGCTCCCAGATCTTGGTTCAAATCGAACAGTTCTTGCGCTATTAGCCGCGGAGTCATGCTTCGTTCAGGGCTTCTCATTGGTGAGCCTCGTGGTGCGAGCTTTTGAACAGTGACGCCGTTTGGAAGGTGTTTGATCAACCGGTCTGTTGTAGGTTTTGTCAGTAATTGATATAGCCACAGCCAGAACCCTCAACCACGTACCGGCAACAACGGGATCTTCGGCCAGTGGTAGAGGCGGTTTGGCATTCTTTCGCTTCTTCCTTAATTCCTCCTCAGAGAGCAACTTCCCGCTGATGTACACGTCAAAGCGATTTCCAATCGCGTTCTGGGAATCCAGCGCTCGAAACACTGATATCCACTCATGCCGTGAGAGGTTCTTCCGCTGCCCTGAGATTCGGAAGAATGTCTCCAATTGGCTCGCACTACGGCACAAGTGTAAGTCACACCAGATAACATCAAAGTAAAGTTGTAAGGGTACATACGTAGCCTTGAGACCCTTGTCAGTGTCTAATCTACCCCTGATCTTTGCAAGGGTCATGTCAGGGTCTCGACGGAGGCCAATGAGCCACTGCTCATGCCTCCCTAGCCGCTCTTGGATATCAGAACACACCGGCATCCTGGAATGGGTTTGAATTCGGTCGAATTGTGTGTCGGAAAACGGCTTTGAACTCTGAAGACTGGATCACTAGAAGTGTCTGGGGCCAAGGCGCCCGTACGCTGGACAAAGAGTGATGGTGGGCAACTTTAGGAAGTGAGGGGCAGAGGTGGCTGCTGCTCTCCAGCCAACTCGAAGCGTCATGCACAAAGGTTCCCCTGCACAACAATTTTTGTCAACCGGTGGATATCAGAGAGTGATTGTAAGCCAAACCTCAGGTGATATGAACAGGTGCGGAGGAAGCGCTGGCTTAAGAGGTCCACAACGGAGTCCATCTGCCTTAGTCGTCCGAGCTTTGTCAATCATCAAGAGGGGCTAGATTTTGGCAAGGCTCTCGCTCATAAGGTAAATTATGGCGACTAAATTCCTACTAGAATCGGATCATCGACCCCTCTCAGCACCAACTTTGGGGTGGTACAAGCCAGATTCTGTCCTCGCTTCGTGACGAATCATCAATAAGGTCGCCAGGGTCATATATGCAGGCTGGGCTTCAATCTCATTGGGCACCCGGCACCGGCATGAACAATTTCCCGTCAGCATAATACAGCGTGTCATTGGGTGGATATATCTCGTGCTGATGGAAACTTTAGATGATCTCTATAGTATTTCAGATAATCGCTGTATGCCAATGGCAGGCGCATTCAGCCAGTCATACCTAAGTAAGACTGAAGGCACCTGGGCCCTGTAAATTCCTTAAGTCCGCTAGATCGCCAACTTTGTGTGGTTTCACTTCTATTCCGTATACGTCCAAGGACATACATGCCGCCTTTATACGGCGGTAAGCACTTAAGGCCCAGCGCTTGGAAAGAATATGATGTTAATAATAATAGTTATAATACGATAGGTGGTTATGGCCTCAGCCTTGTGACGTATAGATAAGGCTAAGGGGCACCGGATCGCCAACTTTACACATGCAAGTTAGGATGTATTAACTGTTCGACCTTTTCAGGGCTACGGGATGTATGAGACCAAACACGGATCCGGTAACTTTGCATCGCACAGTTGATGCAAATCAGGTCGAGTAAATCGCGTGCAGATCATTGAAAAGAAAACATAATTGAGGATCTAAATGTCAATGCCGCCTCAACTTCGGTCTGCTACTCGCGCCTCATTCCAGTATATGTCAGTGCATAGTCATATGGATCAAAAGTTGAAGGAAGCTTACTTGACACGGTGCATGTCCTATCACCTGGAATTAAGTGCCCCTCTAAACAACCGCCGCGGAGCCGACCTCTTCTGATATATTCTGCTGCTGTTACCACGTACTTAGCTGCTTAGGTACGCAGACTCGATACGGCAGACCGTAGAATACTGAGTCTGTTGATACGTCTGCTCAAATTCTGCTACCTCTCTTATGGTATTTAACGCTTGAACACTTTTAACCCCATTCGATTTTAGTGTTGCTTTGATGCGTTGACCCCTGGATGTTTCATTATGCCGCAGAAGCTCGTATCGCCGGCAAAAGTGAAACCGTTGACTCCATAAGTGCGAGCTAAATGCCAAGCATCTGAATTTCTGGTTGGAGAGCACAGACGAATTCCTGGTAACGACTCTGCCCCAAGGTGTTTCCGCTATGCCCACGGCGGCGGTACAATGGAAGATTTAAAAGTCGCGAAGGGCCCCGTCTGGGCTCCCGGGCCCTTTTTCCAGATCAACATTGGAACAATCCGTTCTTCACCTTCGCACCTTGGCATCCGGATATTCGGCCGATCACCTCGCAGCAAGATGCTTGCACTACCGACAGCGTGGGTCTGGCTGCTCTTGGCTGGGTTTGTTGCAAGCGACACCCGGCTCTTGGAGCATATCTCCACGGCTAGAAAGTCGGGCGGAAACCAGCAGAAGACTGCGAATGGGCAACGATCGGCCGGAAAGGCTCCATTCAGCTTATATGCTCGTATTGCTGCCTATGTATCCATAGCCATCTTGTTTTGGTCGATTTCTTTGTCACCCAGCGACCAACAGGAGGCAGCGCAATCCAGTAAAGCAAAACAAGCTTTCTCGTTCAGCATACAATCGAGCAGCAATCCCGTCGACAACGGCGCTCGGGCTCCCATCGAGACTGAGTCTGACGTCGTGATTCACGATGAGCCCATCCACAATGAGACTCTGGGGTTCCAGAAGATATTCGTTATCAACCTGCCGGAGCGGACTGACAAGCGGGATGCCTTGTCTCTCACTTCCGTGCTCACAGATATCAAGCTCACATGGACAAGCGCGATTCGCGGGTTCAACGTGCCAGACAAGTCTCTGCCTCTGGGTGTAGACAGAAAGGGTTGGAGAGACGGGGGCATCGGGTCCTGGCGTAGCCAAATGAATGTGATTCGAACGTAGGTATCTCACCAGCACTTTAGCTCAGCAGAGACGAAACATGGCTTACTGACTACATCGCGAATTCAGAATGGTAGAGGAGAACATAGCGAGTGCCCTCATCTTGGAAGACGATGCAGACTGGGACGTGCGGTTAAAAGACCAGCTCGATTCAATCTCGCAGGGGACGCAACTGTTGCTCGAAAGAGCCCACACAGAACCTGATTTCGTCTCAAAGCTCAATCCTAAAACTAGAAAATGGGACGAGATCACTTCACCGTACGGAGACGGTTGGGATATCCTATGGCTAGGGCATTGCGGCGAGACCTTTCCCGAGCGGATCCCAGGCCACCACGAGATTTACAACCTGTCCTCGGCACGATACACGTACTACGCGTTGAATGACGACGAGACCCTCCCAAGCGACCCCAAGGACATCACCGAGACTTGGATCGGCCTTGAACACACAAGCGACAAGTACCGCGGGACACGATGGGTGCATTTCAGCGGCGGTCCAACCTGCAGCCAGGCATACGCACTGTCACAAGCCGGCGCAAGGAAAGTCTTGCACGCGCTCAGCGTCGGCGGCACGTTGATCGAGCAGCTGGACAACGCAATGAGCCACCTCTGCCGCGACCACACGCCATGGGACAACCCGGACGACGTGGATGGCCCGCCTGGTTATCCGGGTGCCAACATGCGGTGTCTGAGCGTCAACCCGCCCCTGTTCTCTCAGCACAAGCCGCGCGGGCGCAAGGCGGCGGGCTCTGACATTGAGACCGTGGAGGATGGGGATGGCATCCGGGAGGTGGGAGAATCGCCGAATCTGGTGTGGAGCGCTAGGTTGAATGTCCATAATCTTCTGCATGGGAGGCCGATGGAGGACCAGTTCGCGAAGCGCCAGGAAGGGATTTCCAAGGAACAATGAGTGTATTTCTATTGATGAGTTGAGCGTGCGTAGTCATTTGCTTCCAGGCCTCGGTTGTCTCAGGTTTCAACGGCCAGCATTAGTCTGTGAGGCACCCTTGTCTCCCAGTGCCGGCCGCCATCAGGTCAAACTGTAATAAATATCTCATGTTATTCTAGGGAAACATGTAAACTTCTGCTATATCACATCCGGCTAGGTTGTACTTCCATCTGAGTGAGAATACTTTCGATCTTCAAGCTCGCCCCGCAAGCTGATCATATGATGCCCTGTCCGCAGACTCGAAAGAAACTCGTGTGTATGTGAGGTTAATCGAAAAATCAGATGCCTTCATCAGCAAGACCTCTAATGGACTGAGAGGTACTTAATACAACGTCAGCCAGGAACTTCTTAGCCATGAGCCCGTGGGCAATTTGAAAGAAAACACCATACCTAGGCGCGACGCCGTTTGCGACAACACCGCCAGACACAGCAAGCCACGATAGAAAGCAGCAGTGTTGCTCCAACGGCGGTTCCAACAATAATTCCCACTCGCGCACCATGAGAAAATTTATTCCATTGGTCCTCGGCATTATTGATAGCTGCAGAGCCATTCAGGCTACAGTCCGGGCCATTACACCCCACAGGACCATCCCTGGTTGAAAGGTCCTCGTAGAACTCAGGGGGGATGTAATTGATCATGCTGGCGGGGTAGGGCTTTTCTCTAGTCGATATCCGAGCTGTCTCCTACCTAAATAATTAGCGCCGGAATTATATTTGCAGATTATGAGAATGTGGAAGACCCTCCGTACCAATAATCCTGTTGTCGTCTTCGAATTTGGACGAAAACTTGGGTTTGGACTGGGGATAGGTGACGATACTCGCAGGAGCTGAAGGCCTTAGCGAAGCAGCTCGGGTGATATTATTACTAGAATCAGACAGAGGGCCGGGAACTTGAGGCGCTGCTCCGCAATACACGAATAGGAGGACGTGCAAAACATGAACAAAAGTCCTGTTCCACTACATACATCAGTCACTGGCTGTCCTTGATTGCTTTCGACAGACACACACCACATGGCGAGGCTTCTCGGGTTTCTCAGCCGGCTGTCACTTCAATTTGACCACGTGCTTTGCAAGCGTCCCAGCCCCCGGGCTGTGTTTGGTAGCAGGAGTTGTACGGATATGTCGTATGGTGTGATCAACGCCTGGTTGGGGCGGCCGTTAATTTCCACACTTATCACCACATGTGCGACAACGAGGTCTTGGTGCGAAGCAAAGCAAACAAAAAAGCAAACAGGTTCCTCGAAACGTTCGAGACTCGGTAACATCGGCCCGCAATTTTTACATTTGCTCGAAGTTCTGTGCGACATTTGGATCTCGTAACTCATTGTGCCAGGCACTGAACGGACAAGAAGAAAGCGATGGTTCAATTATCAAGATAATCATGGGAGGCATGAGGGAGGAATTGATTGTTTTCCTGTCTAATTGAATAACTGCCAGTAGGACTGCAAGACAGAAAGATGCGACGGTACACTCCCGCAGATTTAGTTCCCCGTTCGATGGCATTGCGCTGTCGCCATTATTCATGTGCTAGAAACTTCAAGTCCCCAATGCCGGCGTCATCAAGTGCTCTTCGACAAGGCTTTCACTTTCGCTTGGTCCCGCGCGAAATGTCAATGCTCACATTTCCAGCTTCTCGTTCCTTCCGTTTCGCTCGTTTCCGGTACAAGACAAACACAACGATGCCAGCTATAACAGTTCCAGCAAGCACGCCGGATATGATAAACAAGATCTTCCGATCAACACAATGATCACAGCCTCCTCCTGTGACTGGCAAGGGCGAGGGAACCGAGCTGTTGGTGCCATCTGTGCTGTTTGACTCGAGCACGGGTGGCTCAGGAGATATGTCGGAGAGGTGCATTTTGAATGTGAACGGTACTCGGGGTGCCCAAAGGAGCATAAGAGGTGGAACTATCTTGTTATCAGCCCTACTCTACAGCTCAAGTCCAATGACAAACCGTGTTAAAACAAACAAGGGTATGTGCTTCTACTCACTGTGGCTTGGAAAATCCGGGCGGCTATTCCTTCAATGGATACGTTTTGGCTGCGAATGTAAATGTGGCAGGGCTAGAGAGGACCCGAGGAAAGGATGAGGAAGTGCTAATTATATCACATCTCGGAAACTCGCATCCTGTCTCTTGTAGTCCAAGCTTGACAAGATCCGGTGATACATGGGTGTGAAGACACCAAAGATTTATCGAAGACGAACGTGAACAGAAGTTAAAAAGAGGGCTTGGATGTGGAATAAACATGTTTGCGGAGTACAGAGTGAGGAAACGGAACATATCGTGGTGCAAGACTTTTCGAGACGTTGCTCAAGGCTATGTCAAATATTGCAAGCTCCCGTGAGGCTGAACCGTCTAGCAAGCCACTCTTTCTTCTATAGTACCAGTGTAGCAAACACTCGCTTGCCTCTTATTTTGAGTTTGCGCGCAATGCCTCTGTGCCTGTGTACTGTTTCGTCAGACGGATCACCAGCACATGATCCCGTGTAGGTTGTAATTGGACCCGACTTTTTTATACTTCTGGTCGGGTTCTAGTGTCAACGATTTAATTGTCATTGCGGTGTGATCCCATGCCGGATGCATTGGCAGCTATGGGGGCTTGAACCCGCATCTGCTCACCGCTTTGCCATAAGGCACATTTCCGATGTCATACACAAATGTTGAATCCCGTATCGTCAAGCAAGTTAATCTTCCGGTTGAGCCCTTCTCCTATGATGAAGCTTCCTCCCGTCCAACGCGGATTGTAAGGCTTGCATACCATACACCAATTACGGAGCCGCACAAACCTCAGCCTCGATGTCAGTCCAGACATGCATATGGTTAGGAATACAACGGGGCTGAATGCCAAGGTCCACATAGCCATCGGGGGGTAGCTCTGACACTGACGACTCAGGTGACCACAGCGTCGCACGATCACAGAGATGCCGCACGCTCACGGGAATTCCTCACAAGCTTCTTGAGCACACACAACTTGGAACCCACTCTGGCAAGTATTGGGTTGATCAAGCACGACATCAACTGAGTAGCACAGGGTGCTCGGTGCGAGATATTCTAATCAAACTGCTGGATGATGGAAAATGACTTGATCCTTGGCTTCAAATGTTGGAATCCACAGGAAGGAATACACATAGAATGTCATTAATTGATGTGATCCATATCTGGGTACCGCTCAGCGTCATCAGCGAGAAACTCATCGCAACGATCTCGACGACGACTTTGCTCCGCAAATACTACCATAATTACTGTCTTACCTCAAGGTCAGAAATTGGGGAGATCACGACTTTGTATGCTCTGAGAGGTTCGTGACTCAACCCCGTGGCGGCATAACATCCGGCGCCGGCCCTAGTTATGATACATACCCAGGTAAGTTCCAAGGTTGCCTCAGCGGCATGACGTGAGCTGTGTGAAATTAGTTCACTTCATGGTGCAGTTTCCACCACTCTTGTATCCCGATCATCGTTCAGCTCACATGTCCACGGCTCGTCGGGCTTGTAGTCTGGTCCTTAGTCTCATTATTCTCTCAAGCCGACATTTTCGCTCTCCTATAGGCTTCAGCCAAATTATATTTTTTATTTAACTATTTATCTATTTATTATCTTCTTAACTTTTAAATTAATTATTAGTTTATATTTTAAATATAAAATTAATAATTATTTAATATATACCTTTAAACTTATCTATATATAAAGTTACTAACTTTCTTTATAAAGCTCTTTTTTCTATTATATTTCTTATATATTATATAAAAGTAGATAAATTCTTAATAATAAAGTAATAAATTTAAAAAAAAGGATTTAATTTTTAAATATTTAGACTATTACTTTCTTTATATAATATTTATTTAATATATAATAAATAAACTTTATTTTATTTTTAAAAGAGTTTTAATCTTTTATAGAATTTATATAAAAGGCTTTCTTAAATAAGTTTATTATTATAATATTGTTATTCTATTAATAACTATATATTTAAAATAAAAATTATAATATATTTAATTTATTTAATAAAAGTAGATTTAAATAGTTATATAATAAATATATTAATAAAAACTAGTTTATTAAATTTTATATATTATAGAATTCTTCCTTTTATAAAAGCTATTTTAAATATTTATTTTAATTTTATTATATAACTATTTTACTAACTTTTTAATATAATATTATTAAAAGTAATACCTTTTAATTTTATTTATATAGTATAAAGTTTAATTATATATTTATAAATATATTATATTCTTTTTCTATTATTATTAATATTATATTTTTTAGATATTAGGTTCTAAGTATTTATTATTATATAAAGGTGCTATATATATTTTATATGTATGGGGATTAAAAATGAAACCACCCTCGCTCTCCTACGCTAGTGGCAGAAAACGCCCACCGTAAGAAGCAGCAATGCAACAACTGGGCGAATGGCACCGCCAATTATGTTTGTGCTGTCAGGTTTTGACATGGAATTTCTGACAGGAAGTGTGGCATATTCAGTACATAGGTCAATTGGTGCTCCAAAGTGGCTGTGGTACCACAACGTGCTATTTTGTACATTCATAGTATCTATGCCAGCCTGCCAGGGAAAGATGCTTCCAGTACATGAGTGACAAGTGAAGCAGGAGAGAACTAGACAGCCGATCGACGCAATGCAATCCAACACATTCAGAGTTGCTAGAGTTCACAAATTCAATTCCAATCTCATAACTTTGCCCTTGGCCTCTCGGGTAGTGATAAGGAGCTAGCGGATTGGACATAAGAACTCTGATGGCACCTGCTAGTGACTGCAGCAAATGGGGAAAGCAGTATTGAACTTCAATTCACCGGATAGCTACAGTACTAGTAGTGTTGGACCAGTTGAGTGGAGTGTAAAACTTGTATTAGCTGCTGCTATGGTGCTATCTCCGTATGTTACTTGCCTTCAACGACACCGTGGACTCGGTCTGAGTGGTTGGTCGAGCTGTTCACCCGATTGTCTATTTCAGATGAGCCTGGTAACTCGCTGATGTTCAGACGTGCACACTCATCCGTTGTGGTAGAATCATGAAAAGGTTCTGCTGCGGCCGCAAGTGACTGTTGCTGTGAATTTTGGTTGTTTGTGCCGCAATGCTCAGCTCCTTGCATCTCCTGAATATTGCCATTGGGGCGGATTTTGGCTCCCTTCCGGTCATCAGAAAGCTCAACGGGCCCCGGAGGTGTCGCCTGCTCAGGTGAGGAGACAGTGTCGGGAACAGAAGTGGTTTCTGCGGCCAGCTTCTTCCGACGCATATAACAGAATACTACCACCGCGAAGCAACCAAAGGCCGTGATTGCACCAAAAAGTGCGCCGATCAAGATCCCCACCTGGCCAGCCTCCGTGGCGTTGGTCGGGTCGCTGGTCTTCGTCATCAATGATGGAGGGGCGGACAGCATTTGCCGAGCCCCTCGCAAAGACTCAGGCCCGCATGAGAAGAATGTATAAGTAGGAGTTATGGTAGGGACATCTGCACTGGCATCTCCAGTCAGAAGCCAAGTCACACACGCAGGGGTCATCGAGCCACCGCTGTAATTCCATCAGTCATTGACTCGTCGGCATTTGTGCGAAGGCTTCGTCATTACCAACAGAGAGTGTTTGATCCGCAAATTATTGCATCAGACGAAGCTTCTATCAATGTATTGTCTGTCGAGGACACTGTAGACAGCGTGGACGTCATGGCATGAGCGTGAGACGGACCATGTAATGCGTCAGATTCGAGGCACTCGTACCCCGAGTACACGATGTTCATGCTGTCCTTCGGATCAATACACTTCATGTATTGACCCCAGGTCGTACAAATTTCGGAGCCCACATTCGGGCAGAGAAGCGGAATTCCTAGAAACAAAACTCGTCAGAAACCTATTCTGGTTAACGCAGCAACCATCCCAACGTGTTTACGCAGTATTGGAAGGGAATAATCAGTTTCTTGTTTATTTACTTTTTCAGGGGAGGGGGCTCCGATGTCAGCATACCATCATTCCCGAACCCACATGCACCCTTGATAGAAACTTGGCGAGGAGCTTTAGTTGGGATTGGCGTTGCGGGTTTGTCATATCTTTTCGGAACAGTTGACGTCTCTGGTGCCTTCTGCAACAGGTGGAATCCATAGGAGGGATTGGTCAACAGTAAGACCTGCAGGAGTCCCAGTGGTAGGAGCGGATGCACCGAAAATTGCATTTTGTTCGCGTTGATCAGATGAAAACGAGTCGGCAGCGACGATGTGTTCGAAAAGCACTGCACACCTAGCTCGCGGAGGGAGTCCTAGCCGTGCGATAGATCCTACACAACCTTGACGAAATGGTAGATGATCAAAGACACGTTGAAGGACCGCATAATATCAAGTTGGAGGAGGCAAGAAATCCGAAACTGGCCTCCATGAGGGGGGCTGGGGGTGACTACCGATTCACATCTCCCTTTGCCAGTAAATCATCCCCAATTGTCCCGTCTCAAGGAGTGTGGCAAAAGCGTCACGAAAGTAACATCTGCGCCAACTCCTTGGTGTGGACAGAAGCATTTTATGGCACAGCAGCCTGCTGTGCAATGGTCTGGAATGCATCTCATCCCGTATGTGACCAAACCTGCCTGCGCGCACCTGGCGAGAACTCCCAATTACCTATGAACCTACGGACTTCAGTAAGGTTGTGGTCTATCACAAAGATTCGACTTCTAGATATGTCCATACTGATTCCTTGCCGTATGTTGCCCTCAACGTACATCTCTCCACTCTTGCTGAGAGGCCTACAACCATGTATAAAACTTGGGTGGGTAATTTTCTATGTACATAAGACTGGGAGTCAAGCCACGCAACCGAAGTGACATTGGTATTGGAAAGCATTGGGTAGATCATGGGGCATCCGTCGGGTCCCTGCAGTCTGGTCAGACAAAAGACACGTAGATTGAAGGGGCCCTCGGCTGGACGGGAATAAAGCACTCACCAATCCGTAACAAGCCCTTCATCCAAGTTTGCCATGGTCTCCAGATCATCGTTCGATATTTCAAAGCCGTTGACGTCGACGTTCTCGATAAGCCTCTCCTTCCTGACGCTCTTTGGCAGGGTGATCATGTTGTTTTGCAGAGACCACCTGGCCGGCACGCGATCAGTATCACGGCCTTCCGGGAATGGGACAGACGAGGGCGGAGTCGATATGCTCACCTCACAAACAACTGCGCAGGCGTGCACTTGTACGCCTTGGCCAGGCTGACAATCTTGGGGTGTCTCATCCGCATAGCCCTGGCCAGCGGCGCGTACGCCTCCACACTGATGTCGTGCTTGGCACACGTCTCACGGATGGCAGTCTGCGTGTTAAACGGGTGCACCTCAATCTGGTTGATGACAGGGTGGACCTTGGGATTCGACGCCATGAGCTCTTCAATCTGTACACCCGGCGCATTGCATCAGCACACAACAAACAAACGCTGTTTGCCTCTTCTTCTCCCGGAGTCCGACTCGGCCCGTTGCAGAGAGAACACACTCACATGTCTCACGCCAAAGTTGCTCACGCCAGCCATCCTGACCTCCCCCGCCTCGACGGCATCCTCCAGCGCCCTCCAGCTCGTCAGGCGGGCCTCCTTGCCGCCGTACGGGCTGTGCAGCAGGAACAGGTCCACGTACCCCAGGCCGGACACGTCCACGGACTGCTTGATGCTCCGGCGCACCTGGTTGTAGTTTGTGCTGCAGCTGGCCAGCTTCGAGGTGTAGTGGATGTCCTCGCGCTTCAGGCCGTCGGTGTTCTCGGCGCTGCTGAGCCAGTCCAGGATCGCCTTGCCCGCCTCGCGCTCGTTGTGGTACATCTGGGCTGAGTCGAAGCCGCGGTAGCCTGCCGACAGGGCCCACTTGGTTGATTGGTAGGCCTCCTTGCCGGACATCATGTACAGGCCCAGCTGGATCTGGGGGATCGTCTGGCCAGTGGCCAGCTGTCGTATGGGTCAGCATTCTGGATGGTGAGATTGCTGGCCCTCCGCTGTCATTGGCATACCTTGACCCTGGTTGCCAGTGTGTAAGTTTGGGATGGCATGATATTAGTGTGTTTATCAGATTGAGGCCGTGGCTGGTCGAGATGTCGGAGTTGATGACAATGAGTTGCATCCCCATCCCTCGCAACAACGACCAAGCTGACGGGATGACAGCTGCAAAGATGTTTGGACTGTGACGTCAGAAATTATCCAATGACTGCCCTCCGACATCGGCCCTCGGAACGACGTTCTGGGACTCGACACAATGTCTACAGTGCTAGAACGAAGATATCCACCATTAAAGGCATGATGATTCTGGGCCAGGTCCAAATGTGAATAGCCGCTGTCATCGCGTACGGGATGGCCTCAACGAAATCACCTGCAGTATGGCGGATTCCAGTCAGTCTGCAGAAAGTGATTGATGTCTGCCTTGATCGTCGTACTTCTTCCCTTTCTGCCTGAGAGTCCACGGTGGCTTCTGTGAAGGGATAGATATGAATTTGCGCTCTATAATTTGTGAAATCTGATGGGAAAGGCGTCCGAAGATGAATTCCGGCCCGAGCTTGACAGCCCTGGAGCCTCCGGTACCTTGGCGCAAGGGAGATTGGGAGAGCTCTCCAACCAGCAGAATCGGGCAGGTCGATTTGGACGAGCCAAGAACCTTGTGCAATTTTGACATTACTTGATAGCTCGGGACTCGCATCGCTGTATTCGCGATGTTCGGTCAGCAGGTAAGGCCTTCAGAATGGTGTCAACAAGGTTGACCACGAGACTGACTGGCTCGGCCTGTTCATGTGTGTTGTAGATCATCGGCCAAGCGTGTCCCTTGCAATATGGGGTGGTCTTCTATCAATCACAAGGCTACGCAAACTTCGTGACGCGCAACACATAAGCGATTCCGCCTTGGCATCCTTGCCATTCTTCGACAATCTCCTTGAGGGAGGAGTGCTGAGATCACCTAGTACGAACATGACAGGCATGAGCGAAGCGAGCGAGACTCCTTAAAGAAAGAGAGCACGCAGGCCAGAAGTGTCGACAAGGATAATTACAACTAGAACTGCAACCATGCAAACAATGTTTTGCACAATGTTGAACGGAACGTCCTGTGCGTCTATGATCTCTCAGTCAGATTCGTCGAGCTCGATCAGGTCATCCTCCTCTCCACCCGAGTCAGCCTCGTCTTCGGCCTCCTCACCATCATCCACGCCAGCCAGCTCGCGGTAGTTCACACTGGCACGGTTACCACGGGGTGTTCCAACTGTTCTTCAATTTATCCTCGGCTCCTATGTAAATTAGCCCTTAGAGCTTCCCATCAAGTGGTAATGTGTGTATGCTGGCACGCGAATGATAACTGATATCTCCCAGTGCTTACGTTATTCTGTCAGAGGTAGCAGATTCTCGCGTGAAGGAGAAGACAAACTTGCTCGCTATTGTGGTCTTTGTATTCACCACCTTCATTACTTCGTTCACGGTACTGTATCTTACAGATCCCGAATATGCCAATCTCGGTAGGAAGTTGGGATATATCTACGGCGTCATCAACATTGCCATGGCGTTCGCGATCTACTTCATCATTCTCCACTGTAAGAATTGTACGCTGGACGAGGTCGACAAACTCTTCACAAGCGGCGAACCTTTGAGGGACTTTTGCAGAGTCGATACTCAGGGTGCGATCCAGGTTTACGACAGATATCGGAATTTGGGTGCCGTGAAAGCGGATGGGTCAGTAGCGCATGTGGAATAAAGTTTACTTAGACACAAGGCATTTGCTAATAAATGCTTTGTCCATGACAAAAGATATTGGAGTCTACTTTGGATACATCTGGCATCTTTGAGATATCCCGTTAATCATTTTCCATCGCTAGTGACTAGTAGTAGTGTTGGTAGAGACACCAATGTGCTACCCGTTCGCTCGTCATCTCACCGAGGCACACACCAGTTGAACCCGTGACCTTTGCAGCGTCTAACCTGAGGTAACTATGGCCTCAAAAATATAACCGCACTGCATGTGTGACGTCGAAGCTGGCATTACTGAAAACAGCAGCCTGCATGCCTATTTCATGCCCAGAGGCCTGACCCAGTGCAATGGCCATCGACGACACCCGGCCGTGGGTCGATTGGGGGGAGAAATAACCAACGGGGAAAAGGAACGGGTTCCAAATTCTTATTGACCTTACTTGTCCATAAGGTCTCAATATTCTTTCACACACACATGTTGGAACACATTCAACACACCGCCCGCGCCCCCAACAGCCATCCACACATCCAGTCCAACGTACGGACTATACTCCCGCAGTACTCAAGTTCCCCAGAAGAGGCTTTCGACTACACATACAGCGTCATTTGATTGAAGATCATCGCCCTGTGAATAATATACCTAGGTATTCCAATAATTGACGATTGGAACCACAGATAAAGTGGAATAAGAGGCCGGCTGGTTTGCCGTACCACGGCACCAGCTTGTTGCCCAATTTGTTTGTCTTTGATTTCTCAAATCTAGATAGGTTTTCGCGTACCGGTTCAGTAACGTGTTTACTCGGCACAGAGTAGTTTGAACCGAGTCGTTGCCCCCAACCTCGAACGTGTGTCTGTCGCGTCTCGCTCCCAGCCTACCTAGGTACCTAGGTATGGAGTGCCCTCGGTACTGGGAAGCACGAGATCTCTAACCTTCTGTTTAGGGGCTCACAGCTTTTCACTATTTGAATGAGTGGTGGAAGTAACTGCAATTCCTGCTATTTGCTTAACCGCCCAAGAGTATGGAGCTCGAGTGTGCTCAATCCGACGCAGAGGCTCAGCAAGTATCGCATGTTGCATGTAGGCTCACGCATCACTTCACGGACCTCGTGCCTTCCTATGCCCAGCGCTTTACCCAGCCGCCTAGGTAGCCATTCAGACCGATTTAACTTCCAACAAATTGTCAGTGTCGTCTCAAGAGGTCAATCTAGTCAATATGTTGTGTACTTTCAAAGGCTGAGTCTTGAGCGTTTACCACTATATGAAGGCGCCATGTGAATATGCCTTCGGACGTATAAGGAGTAGAAGCGAAGCCAGTGACTTGAGCTGAGCTTGTGGATAGGTGGTTAGGCTTGACAATGTGGTTGAAATCGAATCCACTTTGAGTTGTTTCTTCACCTTGTGATCCGTCAGAGACGCTTGAAATTTGTTTTCTAGCAGGAATCGGCCCCTTCGACGATATTTGAGACTTCTGAAGTCGACGCCATGTCTGCAGCGCTGCCCAGGTGGCACCAACATGCCCGCTCACCGTTGGCCGGTTTATCATCTGTCACCAGCGTGAACGATGACTGCAGCCAAGATCTTGTATCTAGCTGTTCAGTAGTTCAAACCAGACAGCCATCCTCCGTAATGCTCAAAATACCCGGGAACAAAGTTGTACATTCCTAAAGGGCTCGCTGCCTATCCACCTATTCGTGTGTGTGATACAATAAGACGGAGATTTCCTGCGGTGCATTCGTCACAGGGGCGAGGGCGTCGTCTGGCAATGCTCTTTCCTACAGTATCCTATACCGTGGTCAGCTGGGCGAGGTACCTAGGTATAATGTGATGCCACAAGTGGCTGTCCATTGGCGGTTTCCCTTCTATTGAATCGCCCCATGACGGATACTTAGGGAGTCCCGAGGGTGGATGGTCAGATAGCTGCCGTGTAAAAGGCTGGCCTGTTGGTGATTATCCTCTTCATTGTTGGAGATCTTCCTGCGTATGCGTGTCTCAAGTCATAGTACAGGTGCCCAGATGTACCAAGGTACTAGCAGGCAGTGTGTCAAGGATTTACATGAAGCAAGTAACGGCAGGGGTGGCACGAGGAATCGGAGAGCTGGAATGGTCAGCCACAACGTTGATGAAAATGTTGTTTTATTGATTTTGTTTAATGATAAACAAAATGTTTATCTTGCACTCTCACTGCGATGGATGACCCCCATGTAGTCGAACATTCCCAGCACCGCACCAACAGCCACGACGACCGCCACCACTCCAATCACGACCTTCACGACTCGACGACACCACCCCCAACGGTGTTCCTGACTGCGCTGCGCCTTGCACCTCTGGCACTGGCACTAGCGACCAGAGGTGCATTGATCCTCAGCCCATCCGACCGAGGCCCAGTAGTCGTCCGAATTCTGCCGCCTCCACCGGCGGGTAGGAGCGGACGCGGCTGACAAGGCATCCAATGGTCAGCAACGTGGATGGCCAAAGCAGCCCTGAAGGGCAAACAAAAGATTTTGCGCGAATATCGAAGCGGAGATAGGCATGGTGGCCCTGCCATGGAGCTCGAAGACGCGAAGGAGGCTCGACGGAAATGAAAACACGAAGGAACCTTGACGAGAATGGCGAGGAAGGTGATGTACAGGGCAGCTCGACGGCGCAAAGAAGATTCATGACGGGAAGGGGTCAAGATAAACAAGGGAGAGAGAACGTGAAGGAAATGGACTTACGTTGACTCCCGGCCGCTCCCTCTGCCCCGTGGAGGCGTGGCGATGGCATTCGGACGACGGATTGGCTTGACTGGGCCGGATTGACGTTGTCGGAAGGATGGGCATCGGGAGGCGCGCGGCTACCCTGGTGAAGGGCGTCAGGAACATGGGGGTCTTCGGTGTCGGTCGCGACAGGTCGTGGCGAAAGTGTTTGGAGTGGGACGGCGTCCATGATGGCTGTGGCTGTTGTGCGGTGCGAGATGGGAATGTTGATTCGATGGGGGTCTTGTGTGGGATTGCAGTGAGAGTGCATGATGAAGAAAAAAGAAGAAAAGGGGAAAAGGAGAAGACGCGAGGGCGGGGGACGGGATTTGTTTAAGTATGCGACAGATCTGGGCTGTCTGTTGACTTTGCGCCTGCCTTCGTCTGAGAACGTCACCGTGGTCAGCTGCTGCTCGAGTGAGTGCGTGGAAGGCGAGCACTTTTGGAAGGACCATTCCCAGCCAGGCGCATGACTCCTCGGAACCACAGTGCCTCCCCCATACTTCCTGGTGCAGCGCAGAACGGAAGGAGGATTGACCCAGGTGCCACTTGGGTGTTACGGACCGCGAATAATAACGACGGATTGTGCTGTGTGTAGAAGAAAATGGATAATGTTGTACTAGAATCGGGGACCCAAGTAGATATATAATAGACTTGTCTCAACAATGTCCAGA